AGGTGTGGGGACAGGTGTGGGGACACAGGACAGGTGTGGGGACAGGTGTGGGGACACAGGACAGGTGTGGGGACAGGTGTGGGGCACCCCAAATGGGGACAGACCCACAGGGAACCCCACACGGACACGGGGCCAGGAACAGCATCACCGTGTCCGTCAGCTCGTAGCCCAACAGCCACGTCTGGGGACACGGGAACCCCAAAAGTGACCAAAAAACCCCAAAAGTGACCAGAGAAACCCCAAAAGTGACCAGAGAAACCCCAAAAGTGACCAGGGGACCCCAAAAGTGACCAAAGAATCCCAAATGGGATCAGGGAATCCCAAAAAGGGATGAGGGAAACCCCAAAAGTGACCAAGGACACCCCAAAAGTGACCGAAGAACCCCTAAAAGTGACCAAAAAACCCCAAAAGTGACCAGAGAAACCCCAAAAGTGACCAAAGAACCCCAAAAGTGACCAGAGAAACCCCAAAAGTGACCAGAGAAACCCCAAAAGTGACCAGGGGACCCCAAAAGTGACCAGAGAAACACCGAAAGTGACCAAAAAACCCCAAAAGTGACCAGAGAAACCCCAAAAGTGGCCAGAGAAACCCCGAAAGTGACCAAGGACACCCCAAAAGTGACCAGAGAAACCCCAAAAGTGACCAGGGGACCCCAAATGGGATCAGGAAACCCCAAAAAATGACCAGGGGGAGTCCCAAAAACCCCAAAAACGATGGGAAAAATCCCAAAAATGAGAACCCCCACCAAAAACAAAAGGGAATCCAAAAAAATTACAGGGATGCCCCAAAAAATGAGGGAATTCACACAGAAAACGAGAGAATTTCCTCAAGAATTGAGGAATTCACCCCAAAAAATGAGAGCAACCTTCTCAGAAGTGCTGAGAGCCACCCCAAAAAATTAAAGATTTTAAAATTAAAATTTAAAAATTAAATTAAAAAATTAAAATTAAAAAATTAAAGGTAAAAATTAAACAGAGAATCTGTGGGAACGCGGTAAAAAAAGATGGGAATGCGTTAAAATATTACGGGAAAACATTAAAAAATAATAGGAAGGTGCTAAAAAATTACAGGAGCGTGTAATAAAATTACAGGAATGCTATAAAACGATAGAAATGTTATAGAATGTTACAGAATATAAACATTATAAACTGCTATAAAATTCACGAGTGTCTCAAAAATCTGGGAAAGGTCGGGAATATTTTGGGAATTCTCTCAAAACCCCAAAAAAAACCCCAAAATCTCTGGGAAAAGCCCCAAAGGCGCCCGGATCCTGCCAGGGGATTTGGGATTTCCCAGGGATTTGGGGACTTATCAGGGATTTTAGGATTTCCCAGGGATTTTGGGATTTCTCAGGGATTTTGGGATTCCCCTGGAGGATTTCAGGACTTCCCAGGGATTTTGGGATTTCTCAGGAATTTTGGGAATCCCCCAGGAATTTGGGAATCCCGCAGGGATGATTTTGGGACCCCCAGGGATGATTTTGGGACCCCCAGGGATGATTTTGGGATTTCTCAGGGATTTGGGACCCCCAGGGATGATGATCTTGGGATTTCTCAGGGATTTTGGGACCCCCCAGGGATGATTTTGGGACCCCCCAGGGATGATTTTGGGATTTCTCAGGGATGATTTTGGGATTTCTCAGGGATGATTTTGGGATTTCTCAGGGATTTGGGACCCCCAGGGATGATGATTTTGCGACCCCCCACCTGCAGCGCGGTGGATTTGGCGTACACGATCTCCTCGTCCACCCCCACGGCCACGGCGATGGCGTCGACGCCCCCGAGCTCATCCTCCCCTTTCTGGGGGGGGAAACGGGGTCAGAACCCCCCCAAATGCACCCCGAAATCCCCCAAATCCATCCCAAAATCCCCAAAATCCACACCAAAATCCCCAAAATCCACCCTGAGACCCCCACGTCTGCCCCAAAATCCTCCAAATTCACCCCAAAATCAACCCTGAGATCCCCAAATCCACCCCAAAATCCTCCAAATCCATCCCAAAATCAACTCTGAGATCTCCAAATCCACCCCAAATCCACCCTGAAATCCTTCAAACCCACCCCAAAATCGACCCTGAGCCCCCAAATCCACCCCAAAACCCCCAAATCTACCACAAAATCCCCCGAAGGAACCCCAAAATCCCCCAAATCCACCCCAAAATCCTCCAAATCAAAGCTGAGCCCCCCAGATCCACCCCAAACTCCCCAAATAAACCCTGAACTCCCCAAAGCAGCCCCAGAATCACCCAAATCCCCCCAAACCTCCCCAAATCCACCACAAAAATCCCCCAAATCGACCCCAAACCCCCCCAAACCAGCCCCGAATTC